GTGAAATGTGGGTGTTGGTTCATATCTGTGGCTCCCTGAATTGGCTGGCCATTGGACTCACTTAGTGAGTGTCTGAAAGTTGTCACACCCACACATCTGCCAAGCCCAGGTATTAGAACCTGTGGGCTCAGGCATCATTAGTGTTAAAGCCCCTCAGGTGATTCCAAAGTGCTGCTAGACTGGCATATGACAGATCCAGGGGAGCTCTCAACTTCCATCAACCAAGTGCCTTCAGGTGAGCGGCACAAGAATCACTTGGGGACTTTTTAAGTGATCAAGACTCTTGGGCCTCAGATCTACAGAAATAATCTGCATTTTATCCAGATGCCCTAGTCATAGGCACTGGCATTAAAGTTTGAAAACACTGTCCTACACACTCTTGTACCTCGCATTTTATTTTGCTGACATTTGAATAATTTTTGGATCTCAGTCCAAAATTTAGTATTTCGTCAATGCTAATAGTTGTATTGCATCACCGCAGTGGATTGTTAACTGGTGGTCAACTTGTTGCACCCAAGTGAATTGGACCAGTATGGGGCTGGTTGTGGGAGGGGCACCTGAGGATTTTTGCCAGCAGAATAAGAGGCAGAACTGGAGAAGCTATTTGAGAGTCTGTTAGGGATGCTGTTTGGAGAAGTTGTTGGAGATGTTGGAAGCAGCTGGTTCTCCTGGACTATTCTGCTGGGGCAGCTTGTCATGCTATCTTTTCAGATGAACTTGGCTGTTCTCATCAGAGAAGGAGCTCAGGACCTCATTGTTGCTGAGAATGACTATGGTTCATTTTGGGGGAGCTCTGGTCCTCACCTTGAGCATCACTTCTTGGCTCCAGAGGAGAAGATGGTGCACTGTTCAGCCTCCTGGAGAAGCTGGTTGTATTGGCTTTCCTGATGGGAACTCAGCTTTCCTCATTGCTGGAGGAGCTGGGAACCTCACTGTTGCTGAGGATGGCTGTGGTACCTTTGGGGGAGCTCTGGTGTTTACCTTGAGCATTGTTTCCTGGGCATAATTCAGATCTGTCAGCCTGCTAGCACAGACTCTTCATTGATTCAGCATAGACTTTCTAGCTTCCACCATTCACCTTTGGGCTTTCCTGTACAGATCCATGAAATGGCCCGGCATGAGACATTGCTGTGGGCTCTGGGCCTCCACTTGGACTTGTGAGAGGTATTGTTATGGGCTCTAAGTTTTTAGCTGGACTCATGCAGGATATTAGGATCCAGGACCTCAGCTGAACTCTTTGGTTTTCAGTGTGTGGACAGATTTCCTGCACTCTTGTATGTGATTCTTCGGGTGATTATAAAATAGTTTTATAAAATGTGTCCTGTATTGTATTGTTATCCTTGCAAAAAAACCCATACCAGGCCAATCAGAAAGCACAAAAAATTCCACCCAACTGTCCTACACAGGGAACCAAGTGAAAATAGACTTTAAAAAAATGTATTCCCGTACAAGGCCCAGATGATTTTATGAGATTCCAATCAAAGATTGCTTTTTCTTTGTAGAGTGGAGCAGAGCTCCCTGAAGAGGAGTTTCCAGGTTCTTCTTCAAAGTCAGCAGCGCCAATGTGGTTATTAGAAACGCCTGCTTCCAAGTGGCAATTTGGATCTGATGTCTAACCTGGCCATGCACCGATTCCAGGTTCTTTATCCTCTCATGCCACCTGCCAGCTTGTCGAGGGCATTTCCCCACCCACCCCAGGAAATGATAGGAGTTTGGCTAAGGAGTGCTTGACCTCATCCCAAGTTACCTGCCATAAAGCTCGTCATCTTCTTCAGCCTACCAAGGCTTTGGCTGAAAAACAAAACCAGAAACAACAGACTAATAGAAATTAATGCAAGATGCTGCATTGGTCTTTCTAACTCAGGATGCTAAGAAGGCAGGGTGAGAGGGCCAGCCAGATAGCTCAGTGGACTAAAGAGGCTGTTTAGGCAGGCACAGCAACTAGGGGTTCAATCTCCGGTGTGCTATGCCGGCCCCACACCCGGGTCATGCTGAGATGGTGAATGAGACTGGATGTGGTGGCACACGCCTGTAATCCCAGCACTTGTGAGGCTGAAATGGGACAGTCACTAAGAGTCCAATCTGTGTAGATCCTGTACTAAAAATACACACACACACACACACACACACACACACACACAAAAAGCAGGGTGAACACCTTAGGCTAACTCTGCATAATTAGGGCCTTTATGAATAACAATTTAGTTAGAATGGTTTATATGTGAATGTTTAGGGCTAGGTGGCATGGACATAAACTCAAAATGGTCAACTCAGTTCAATTTCCAGACATTAGGTAGCAGCCAATGTGGCACCCTGCTGTGTCCTCTCAGGCCCTACATTTCAGTGGGACTCTCAACAGTCATTGTCTGCAACCCCTTGCCAGAGGGCTTGCCCTGGCCATTTGCCCACTCTGCCTTCAGCACAGAAGGCAGAAGTCCTAGAATCAGTGCCTTGGGAGAAAGCCCCAGGTGATGATGGAGTGGAGATGGAGTATAAATGCCCTCGCTCCCTTACTCTGGGGAGAGACCAGGGGAGCTGTGTATTCTGCGCTGGTTCTGGGAGACAGCCAGCAATAGTTTCAGTTGCTAACAGTAACTTGATCTCTGCCTGATTCTGTGTTCTCCCCAGTTCATCTCTCACTCCCCTGGCAGGGATCTTTGCACCTCCACAGTGAACTCTTCCACTCGATTCCTTGCCTCTGCATCTGCTTGTTTGGAAAGTCACACCAGGATCAATTTTATTTTCTTTAAGGTATATGGAGATATGCAGATACATTGTGACCTTTCAATTTTAACATTTCCAGTAAATAAAGCAAGGAAGGATAAAAAGGGTTTTTACAAGTACTTTGTTTTTTCTTTTTGAAATTTAGGGCAGGGTCTACAGGGTCTCACTACATAGATTCTCCTGTTTTCAGCCTCCCAAGTGCTGGGATTACAGGTGCGTGCCACCACTCCCAGTCTCAATCACCCTCTCAGCAAGCCCCTGGGGGCGGGGCTGGCACTGCAGGCTGGGAATCAGGAATTGAACCCTGGCCTCTGCGCTCTCCCAAAGCATTAAGAACCTTGAAGAGATCATTTTATTGCCTATTCTGGAGACTCCTTTAACATGTGAAGCTGCTAAGGAACAAGACCAAAAACCTTACCTAAAAGCAGTGGAGAAAAGCCCTAGTTTCCAAGCCTGGTTCTATGCTTTATTGTGTGACCTGGAGCAAGGCTCAGATCACAAGTCCCTAGTCTCTGGCTCACAGCCCTCTGACACTTCCGACTGCAGGATGAAGGTCTTTATGAGATGTGGCTAAGGAATGCGGTGAATGCTGCCGCCCAGTACCATCCAGCAGAAAGGCTGGCTAATACACCTCACTCACCTGATTTGGCAATGAGAAGCTTCTAGCTCTTCCCAAAGTCAAAACAGCCACAGCTGGTGAACGTTCTGAATGGATTCAGGACACCAAGGCAGCCAGGACAGCACAACTAAAAGACACCCAGGAAAGAAAACTTCCAGAGCTGCTTCAGAAAGTGCAAGAGCCCTGCCCAGCTTGGCCCTGCCTGGTTCCTGGAAGGATGAAGTTCGTAGATGAAGGAGAGCAGTGGTGAGAGTGGAGGATTCAGCTGGAGCTCTGGGACCCGGTTCTGGTGATAGCGAACAGGCTCACAAAGCTCAGCTAGGGGACTACATAAAAAAGTCCACAGGCTGCCCTTGGATCGATCTCACAGTACATCAGTTCTACTTCTTGATTCATAAGTGAATTCGTCTTGCGCCGAGGATGCCTGGTTTTTCTTCGCGAGCAATGTCATTCCACTCACCAGTGCTTGAACAGCTCTGCTCCACCAGAAGCACTATGAAGAGTTCTTTCTGTGCAGTGGTTCCGGTGCCAAAAGTGTCTAAAGGCTGTGAATCTGCCGCCCCTGAGGCAGGGAGGGCTGTTGTACAGAGAGACGTGTCAGTCCTTCCCCAATTTCCGCCACGGTCAGGCTCACACCACCTCCGTCCTGCAGGAGGGGCGTTTGGTCAGCTCTGAGGCTTTCGCTTTAGGGCTCTCAGCAGGAGTGGTGGTGCGGGCTTGGCTTTTGTGTCTCTCTTTTTCCCCTTTCTTTGCCCTCTTTTCTCATTGTCAGAATTCTTGAATGTCAGTCGGTCACCCCCAGTGATCTTTTTGGTTTCTGTCCCTTTCACCCAGAGGTGAGGCTCAGAACCCCAATTCTCCTTTCCTTACCTTGCCTTCTTTTTGAGGTTAGAGAAAGGGACTGAAATTGTGAGGGCAGTGGTAGGAGGCACATCAATAAAGAGGAAACCCCTAAACTGGACTTAAAAAGAAAAAAAGTGCAACAAGAATGATGGGATGCTTTCGAAGCGAGGACTATATCCTGACAGGAATCAATGGCAACGTGTCCCTTACTGTCATTTTTTAAAAATGGGACGTTTCACAATATTTTCCCATCACACTGCAAAACACCCGCGTTCGTGCCATTGGTTTTCGCACTGACTACTATATCACCACCTCACCTGGGGTTCACCATGAGGAAGCTGGGGAGATCACTTGCGAAGTGACAGGGTTGCGCAGGATTAGTGAGCATCCACCTCCAGCATCCCACGAGATTTGCGGTCTGGCAGAGTATGAAGCCCTAAGCCAAAGTGCGGTCGCAGGAGTTGTGCTGAACCTGCACCCTTGGTGCCGCTTTGGTTTCTCAACTGCATTGTTAATGGAGCTCAGGAATCCCTTCAACATGTCCTGGGCCCGAAATACGAAATACGTGACTAGAGGCAGTGCCTGGGGCCTGGGCGCAGAGGCAGAGGAGGCGCGGGTCGCGCTGCACGGAGGCGGGTCGGACCAGATGTGCGCGGCCTGCGGGCCCCGCCCCGCCACCCCACCCTCACCGCCCTCCCGCTCTTGCTCCAGGCTGCTTCCCCGCGGAGGAGCCAACACATCTCGCTAGGGCGCCCCAGCCTCTCCTAAGGGCTGGGGATAGGACTGTGCCGCGAGCTGCAGGGAAGGCGAGCCCCCGAGCCGCCGAGCGGCCAAGGAGAGAGGAGCGGCACCCACTGCGTCCCACATCCAGACACGCACCTTCGTGGGGGACACAGGAGGAGGAGGAGGAAGAGGACGCTTAGCGCAAACATGCAGCCTCCCTGGGGCCTCGCACTCCCGCTGCTGCTCCCCTGGGTGGCAGGTGGATTAGGGAACGCGGCTAGGTGAGTATTTGGCTGGCCTCCGACCGGGCCTTGACAACCCCCCCCCCTTTGGAGCCCCTTCTCTTTGACCCCTGTCCCTGCGGGCACCCTGCGGTGAGCCTCCTGGGAATCCCTGTGTGCAAGTGCGCTGAGTGAGTCCTGCCCCCCCCCCCCCCCCCCCCCCGCTGTCCTCTCCAAGCCCCTCTGGCTGAGCTTTGCATCCTGTGCCTCTACACGCACTGTGGGCCTCCTGACTGCGTCTCTAGCCAAGGCTGGCAAAGGAGATGAGACTCCGAGCACACCTGGGGGGCGATGGGGGTTGTTCAGGCTTTGTGGTCCTGGACCCCACTCTGCGGGGGCGTGAGTTCTCTGTACCATTTGCTGTTGCCACTGTATTCCAAGGGCGCCAACTGGTTTTGAGGGGGAAGGAAGGACAGAAACGGTGGTCTAAAGGAGGCTCCTGCACTGAGCCGCTGCTGCCTTGCTCCTGGCCGCAGTGCCTTCTGCTTCAGGAGGCTGAAATGGAAACAAAGTACCTTGCTGGCCACAGGACAACACTTCTCAGTCTTGCTCTGGAAAAAGAGTGAAGCTACTTCCTTATGCACCCCAGAAGTTTTGTTGAGCCTTAAAACTTATCTCTATATACCTGCCAAACCACTTAGTAAAGATAGGCTGCCACAGTGCTTGCTGCAGCCCAGGCATGGTTTTAAGCACTTTAGAGCTATGAACCCACCCAGTGCCCTTCACTACTGTGTGAAGTGCACTAATGATATCACCCCTGTCTTACAGAGGACAAAAACTGAGGCACAGAGAGGTCCAGCAACTTGCCCAAAGAGGCACTGCCAGGAACTAATGGAGTTGGGAGGCAAATCCAGGCAGGGTTACCCAGCGCCCTGCTCTTCTTCCATGCAGCAGGGCAGCCTTCTGGGAGGGATGCACAGGAGGATGTTTCCTGGGTCCTGGGCAATGTCGTATTCTTTCGCTTCCCACATGTGCTACAGTGGATTTGTCCCCTGCAGCACCATTGCCTTTTAGGATTGGGCTGCATCATTATGTGCTGGGGTTCGGGGTGGGGGCTCTCCTGTGCACTCTTGTCCGAAGTTCAGCAGCAGCCCTGGCCTCTTCCCACTGGGTGGGGAGGGCAGGAGAAAAGCCCTGGTTAAGCTCAGGCTTCTTAAAGGGGAGCCTGCTTGAGTTTGTTTGACTTACAGGAAAAAATCTTTCTTCAGAGTCAGCAATGGTATTAAGGGATTTTGAAGTTCAAACAGAAAGAAGCTCAGGCCAGGTCTTCTGAATGTCTGATCGCAGGTCTCAATTTCCTTTCCGTGATAAAAACATAAGCAGATGCAATTTGCTTATAATCACATTTTCCTTGAAGGTTGGCAGTTCTTGTCTTGCTAGACAACCCACTTTAGAAAAGCCCGAGTGCAATTTCGAGATGAGATTAATAATTCTTTAGCGGAGGGCAAATTGACCTCCCAGCACTGCACTTTCAAAGCACCAGCAAATTAAATTAAAAGCCTCAAAGCCTCTCAATAAACTGAAGAATATTAAACAGAAGAATCCATGTCAGGAGTCTGCAGTTCGCAAGATGTGAAACGTGGTTACTTTACACGGAATCTGGATCCTGAGCTGGTGAATTTATTATCTGCTTGGAAATATCAGATAATCAACTCTCCAGGAGCTTCCCAGGGACCACATTTAACTGAATCCAAACTCCCCCTTTGGGACAACATGCTTACAGAGAAGGGGAAAGTGTGCCTAGTGGTTATTTTTTGAGCTTTCAGTGAAGTCCGTAGTAAAAGCCATGGCACACAAATTTCTAACATAAGCACCAATGGTGACCCGCAAAATTATATGCCTCTTAGATTGGGCATGGTAGCACAAACCTGTAATCCCAGCACTTGGGAAGCTGAAAACAGGAGGATCACTATGAGTCCAAGTTGTGTAGTGAGAGCCTGTAGACCTTGTACTAAAAATAAAAGAAAAAAATTATATGCCTCTTAAATGACATATAGTGCATAGTAGACAATTAACACCCATGAAACGCATGATTCATTAGCTGCATGCATTTACCTCCTCTGAAACACTAGAATTGTCTCTGTGTCACACTTTTCATGTCCTTTGGGTATCAGAACTGTTTAGATGCTCTAAACTTGTGTCCACTGCAGCAATGTGGTAGGCAGGAGCTGTAAGTAGCTACTGAGCTCCTCAAATGTAGCCAGCCCAGGATGAGATGCGCTGTATGAGTAAATACAGAGTAGAATTTCACAATATATGAAGGAACAAATGGGAACTATTTCATGAATTGTTTTATATCTCAATAACATGTTGAAATTGCAACATTGTGAATATACTACATTGGATAACATAGGCCATGAAAATTAATTTAACTTGTTGCACATTTTTTAAAATATGCCTCCTAGAAAATTTTATATGTAGCATGTGTCTATTATATTTATAGTACTGGTCTAAATCATTTATTTATTTTCTCATTTTATTTTTTGTGGTGCCTAGAATTGAACTCAAGACCTCACACTTGCCAGGCAGGCGCTTATTCTACTGCGCTATCTCCCTGACCCTTAAAGCATCTATTGATCTGAGCACCATTTCAAATACTCCAGGTCCTAACACTGGGACCTATTGGTCTTGGGTATACATGATAAATATCTTATGAACTTTGCATTTCTTGAAACTAATGCTTAGAGCAGCTACCTACTTAAAATATGTTTCTGTTACACATTTTTCTCTGTTAAATTCAATTAAAAATAATGACAGAGATGAAGCAATGTCTGGATTACTGCAAGCCACACATTATAAGGTATACTAAAAATACAGTGAATGTTTATATTTTTAAAATTTGCAATAAGAAACACACTGCCACTAAACCTCTCAAAGCATTTTCCTTTGCTTTGAACACATTTATCTCATTATTGTTGCCATTTTCTGAAACACTTCTGTAAGTACTCTTTCATGAGTATCATTAGGTATATGTTGTGACTGTCTTGATGTCCTGAATCCATTCAATGTTTTTCCCAATTATTTTGACTTTGGGAAGAGCCAGAAGTCCCACAGTGCCATATCTGGTGAACAAGGTGAACTCGGGTACACTGTAATACTTTTATCCTGCTAGATGGCACTCAGCAGCATTCACTGTATTTTTTTAATCACATCCTATAAATACGCTCAAGAAAAAGGACTCCCAGAACTACTGCAGAAAGTGGCAAGAACAATGGGATAAGCATGCTCAAAGCCAGAGGAATTATTTTGAAAGAAATTAGTGATGATGTGTCCTTTACTATAATACATTTTCCACATTCACTGAACTTTGTGATCACACATCAAACATGGAAAATTAATTCTTTGGCGCCCTGTTAAGGAAATACCACCATAACAATTTAACACAAATGCCATGGCTTATAACAGCACAGATTTATAGTCTTATAACTCTGGAAATCAGAAGTCCAAAATGAGCTTCATGCAGTTAAAATTAAAGTATTGGCAGGATTCGTTTCTCCTGGTCACTCTAAGTAACAATGCAGTCCTCTTTTTTTTTTTCAATTTTTAGAGGCTGCCAGCAATCCTTGGTTTGTGGACACATCCCTCTTCTTCCTTTGTTACCTCACCTTCTCTCTTGCTCTTCCTTGTCTTCCTTCCTCTGAGAAAAACCTTCGTGATCATATCAGGCACATAAGGATAATCCAGAATAATTTTTCCTGTTTCAAAATGCTAACTTGAGCATATCTGCCAAGTCCTTTGTGCTATATAAAATAATATTCACAATGCCCAGGCCTTAGGACTTAGGTATCTTGGGAGGAAGGGATATTATTCAGCCTTTCACAGGGAGCCTGAGATGAGTCTGTTGTTCTGGTTTTTATCAGCAAGAGTTTCATCTTTAAACATGATTTTAGTGATTTTTGACTGGTTATCGTAGTATTCATCTCTTTATTCTTAAAACCAGAATTTGTAGGACTATATCTAAAACTTAGGAGCCATGTGTTTCTAGAAAATATTCATCATAGGGCATCCAATCACAACATAGTGTCACTTCTGAGCAACCTTATTTCAATAGTTAATCTCAATGATTTAGGCGGTGTTAAGGTCCTATACAAATAAATCATGATGATGTAATCATTAGAATTAGAATAAGTATAATATCTAGCCTTCATAAATTAGATTGACATTCCTTCAGCAGCTATTGAGACCCTATTGTACGGTAACTCTTCTCAATGCTATTTTAATAAATTCTCACAACAACCCTAAGAAATGGGTATTGTGTTCATTTGACTCATAAAATCACAGCAAAACCTTGGCAGAAGTATGTGATTTCTCATGGATTACATTTGAGTTGGACTTCTGTTCTAAGACCAGTAATGTTCCAATATTCCAAATTTATTTTCTCAAAAACAGAATACATGTTTTACAAAGCTGATAATTTTACAAAGTGCTTGCTCACACAATTACCACTGACCTTATTAGCCTGCCTACAGGCCGGTGTAATCAAGCACAACCTTCCTAGTATCACCGCTGTCCTCTCCAAGTTCACAGCCTCTCAGAAGCAGATGCAGTTTGCAAGGTGACCCTAGGAAGTTTGATAGGGAAGAAAGCAAGTGTGACAGAGAAGAGAAGGGTTATGAAAGTAAATTAGCAATGAGAATTAATCCTACTGGAGGACTCCAGGGGACATCTGGGCATGAGCCTTGGACTTGTCCCTCCTGAAGACAAGGGTATTTATTCTCCTACTCCTATCAGTCATTGAATGAGGGTATTGGAGGAGGGGCTTCTGTTCTTTCAACCCGCCATGCACATAGGCAGAGTGATCCAATTCTTGGGTACCAGGAAATGAGGATGGGCATGTACTGCAACATATCCATTTGTCACTGATCTGGCAAGACAGGGTGCTACCTCTGGGAACTTGTGCTTCTAATGATAGGTCCTAGAACACCACCTCCTTGGGGGACACTGTAGGCAGGACATATAGGTGACCTAAGATAATATGGGCTAAATTACATTTCTCTCAA